CCTGGGGGGGGGGGGCACCATGGCAGTGAGTGGGGAAACCTGCAGCCTCCAGCACTGGTGTTGGTGACAGCAAGCGGTGAGCAGGGACCACCCACAGAAGCCAGAGGCAGCTTTAGCGGCAGCCAGTGTCACGGGGGGCACATGCCCCCCTGTGGCCCCGCTATGCATCACCTATGGGTAGGGCAGTACATGTCAGTGGATGAAGCTTTTTGGCCAAGGTGTTTCTGTAGTCTTTTTTTAATGTAACAATTTTATCTTTAGTACTCAACAAGCTACAACATAGCTCTTCTAGGTCTTAATATTAAAAAATAGCCATGCTATTGTACCTAATCCTGCAACTGTGTGCAAGTATTCTTGGAGTTTGGGATAAAATGGTAACTAAACATCTATCTGTCCTTTGTCTGTTTTCCTGTATGCTTAATCGCTGTGTTGGTTTTTCTACAGCTACAGTCTCCCCTATCTTATGAAACCATCAGCTATGGGTATTTTTTTTGCCCAGTGGTTTAGCTTCTAATTTCTAGTAGAAAATCCTAGGGGGATTACTCAAAGATTCTTTTGATAGTAAATATCCAATAATTCATAATACAATATTGCAAATTCTCTGTTACTGTTCATTACTGTAGACTCACACATAAAATACTCTTTTTTCTATTTATATCCCATGCTATTTGTACGTATTTTGAGACTCCACAATGTTAAGATATCACTAAATAATTATCCCTAAGAAATGCATTCCTTGTGTATTACAAATCATGGGTGTGGGTCACTTTTTTCCTAAAGCAAAGCTTAGTCCTCTAGGGAGATTATTCTACTCAGACTGTTTCCTTATCTAGCACAAAGACTTTTCCTTTATGAGGGAAATTGAAGGCAAAAATGAATATTAGTTAAGATTTTTTTTTGTTTTCTATTTGTCTGAAAGCCATTGGGCAATGTTTTATATTCAGCATGGATGTTTGGGGTGGGGGTTGGATTTTTTTTTTTTTTTAAGAATAAGGAGGAGCAAAATATCTATCTTGAAGGTACTTGCATTATTGGAGAATGGGAAGAATGCCAAGCGTGATTTCTTAAAGCCTTGTTGCTAAACAACTGACCCACCACAGATTTTTCAATGGCCCTCTAGACTTTAAGCATAATTCAGCAGTGAAATTAAAGCTAAGATTTATTTTTAATGTACAAGATAGTCTGATACAAAAGCACCTATCACGCTAGTCTGACAGTTAAAGGATTTTACCTTGGCAGTATTCCAGGGTGCAGAAGCTTTTGAACAAATAACCTTCAGAATCTTGTCTCAGAGGCTGAAATACAAACCAAAGTGCCAAAAATATTGGGGCTCTGGAAAATGATTTGCTTAAGTAATTGTAAGAGTTCTTGGAATTTAGTTATGGTTTGGGGGAACCTGATATGCAAAATTCTGCTTCTTTGCAAAGGCATCAGAATTTATATTCAGGAAGTGTACTACAGGGCATGTACACACATTACACTTTGATTGCTCTAAGTGAATGTAGATCAATTTAAACTGTATCCGTAGGCACAGACAGTCTAGTCTAAAAATGGTGCCCAGAAGTTTGGTGCAGATAGACCAGTCTAAAAATGGTGCAAAAACTCTAAGATAGATCTGATGTGAGGCACACTCAATTGAGACAGATTTAGGTGAGACTGATGTACCAAACTTCTTTACTGTTCCCCTATCAATCAAGTTAGATCTCTGTCCACTTTCATGGTAGTCTGTTTGTGTCCCCCACTGCCCCTTCCCTTGAAGGTTGGTGCACTAGCTCTTGGCCTGTGCCTGGTTGCTCTGGCCAAGGGGCCATGCAACAGAAGCCAGTGACCACCTCCTGAAGGTTAATGAGGTGGATGAAGGATGTTCTGGATGACCAGGCACACCTCCTGGATTGCCTTTCTGGCTGTGGACTTGCCTATGCTAAACTGGTTGGTGATGTAGCAGAGACTGCTGGGAGTGGCCAGTTTCATGATGGTGATGGCAACCTGCTTCTCCAGAGTGAGTGGTGGTCACATGTTGATGTTCTGTCATGTGATGTTGGGGGCCACCTGGGAGACATTGTTCATGAAGGTGGACCATGTATGGGGAAGTTCTGGATCCACTGTTTGTCATTCCAGGTGTCCAGGACAATCTGATTCTACCAATTGCTGCTGGTGATGCAGGCCCAGAATTGGTGCTCGACAGTGTGGAAATGGTGCCAGAGCACCCTGGTGTCCTGGGTGGCCTCATTCTCATTTGCCACTTGGAAGACATTGGCCCAGTCTAGGACACTTGGAAGGCACAGGCCATGGTAGGTGGCCCCACACGGGATGGGTGGCTGCTGGCTTGGGGGCATAAAGGCTTGTCCTGTAGTAACCAGCAGCTTTACCATGTTTAGATGGCCATACATGATGTCCTGCAGTCTCCTTCAAGAGTTTCATGGGGTGACAAGTGGGACATGCTTCAGCTCCTGAGTCTGTGAGCTTGGGCATGGGTGGTGGGGCACCATGGCAGGGTGTGGGCAGGCATAGATATGGAGACATGTGCAGTTCATAGGGGAAGGCACTTGCTTTGTGGCTCTTTGGGAAGTGTCTGTGTAGGGCTTGGAGGAGAGTCCATTACATTCCAACACATTTATCTTAAACCAGTTTCAGCCATTTTGAAACTGGTTGATGTGCACTGAACTTTGGGGCTAGGGACAGAAGTTACACATAAACCAACTTAAGTGATCAGAAACTGGTTTAAACCCGTAACAGAACATAAGTTCGGTGCACATAAACCAGTTTCAAAATGGTTGAAACTGATCTAAGATGAACCTGGTTGAATGTAGTATCAGACTTAACTGATTTAGGAAAAAAATGGTTTATGAAACTTCTGTCCTAGATCCCTTCCTGGTTCAAGTTAAATCAAAGTCCCTCAGCATGCTTTCCAGCCCTGGGCTGGGCTGGGCTGTGCCATCTGTTCCAGAGAGTAGGACTAGCTCTGCCCCTCTGCTCCCTAGCTGGAGCAGTGAGGGCTGGTTGACAAGGGGGTAAGCCCAACTGGGGAATGCAGCCCCATCTATGGGGGGGTGCCCCCCAAGGCAAACCCCAGCTGCGGCCTGGGGCAAGGGAAGGGGGTTAAACATCCTTTTCCCTGCTCAAACTTACTGCTGGCTGCAAGCATGGATTACAAAACCCAAAGGCACCTGGACGCAGGAACAGGAAGTGATGAGCAACCCTGCAGAGTCCTGCTGCTTTAATTCTGGACTGCAAATCCCAGAGACCTCTGAAGCAGCAGGAAGTGGAAGTGAACACACAGCCAGAGAGATGTGTTCTAGCACCCGCTGGCTTCTGGCTTGAGCCACTGTAGGCATGTGGCTGCATTTCCTGAATCAAAGGTAAATGGTTGTTCACTTCTGTTTTACTGCAACACAATCTGTGAAACTTAGACTAACCTGCAAAGACTGAATTGATTCAGCCTGGGGCTTTCTGAATATCTGTACCTAGCCCTATTCTGTTCCACAGGTTTAAACCAGTTTTTGATCACTTAAACTAGTTTATGTGTAACTTCTGTCCCTAGCCCTTGAGTCACTGAAGTTATAAATTCATTGTTTTAACTTCAGCTAAGCAAGGAAGAGTTTCTGTCAGTATCCTTATAAATATTTGTGTATTTACATAGGCACAACAATGCAGATATGCTACTCCAGTGATGTAAAGCTGGCATTTAGAGAGAATTATTCAGTATTGCAGTTAGTATTTTAGTGTGTGGGACAGCATATGTAGGACATAGAATGTGTTCCTGTTGAAACTTAAAAAAAAGTAATAATGAACAAGTAAAAGTCATTTGCAGGACATAAATTGTGAATCTGATAGAGTTCACATAACTTCAGTAGATGGACCTCTGCTGCTGAGACTCTTGATTTTCAAAAAAAATCAGTGGAACCAGGAGGGATATGTCAGAATATTCTTCCAAGTCTAAGTTAGAACTGTTCGCATTTATGGGTCTCTCCCAGAATTCAGTCATTTTGTGATGTCCATTTTCATTATACCTCAGTGTAGAAGACATCACTAAGAATCTACAAGAATGATAATTCAAGAAATGGACCTACAGAAATTTAAAAATACTTGTGTGTTTCTGATGTCTTCCTTGAGGTAAGGATTTTTGGGTTATACCTTTTATTGGACCAAATGCATGACTGAGATAGACTTAG